TCCCAGAATTCTGGGAGTTGAAGTCCACACGTCTTAAACTTGCCGAGGTTGAGAAACACTGGGCTAAATCATCATAGGATTCCTGGCTTGGGGCATTGCAGAGCAAGCCCAGCACTGATGTTTCCTTAACCTAGTTTAGGGTTGAACCCAACCATATTGCTTCTGGATAACATCACTCCCTTGCAGAAAAGCTGTCACTAGGGCTGCAGCTAGCTAACCCCCCAAGACACCCACTCCCCTCTCCCTCCAGCTTTCCCCCCATGCTCTGCAGAGTGTACTCAGTCCATGTTTGTGAGTTTTCAAAGTTACGCTTGACCGCGTCCCTCTGCGTTTTTCTGGTTTTTGATGTTTCTACCCCAGGGGTGAGGCCATGGGGATCCTCTTGGCTTGGTCAGGGGTGATGTGACCACTTGTGGGGGTCACCGGCACCTTTGCATAATCCTCTGCCTCTCCTGGTGCTTGGCCTAGGAGTGCTTACCCTGGTTCTGACCGCCACACAAGAAACAAGGGAGAGGGGAGAGGGGATCGGCCGTGGGGCAAAGCCCCCAATTATTAAAACCATACATAGCTAATTGGGAAATTCTCAGTATGTTGCTATGTCAGTTTACTGAGAGGCTTGGTGTGGGCAGCAGGCCGGGGAGGCAATGTCTATTTTCGTAACCTTTCCTTGGCCCCCGGCCTGCAGTGTCGCACAGCTAAGCACGCTCATCTGAAGGCATGGTTGTGTGTGTACGTGTGTTTTGCACAACATCTTGAATTTGGAATTGCCTGAAAAGTGGGAAGAGCTGCCCTGGGCCCCACGGCATTGGATGGAAACGACTCCCTCGCGGTTCTTCCATCCTGACTGAGGCCCTCGGATGGCTTCCCACGGTGTCCGGTTCTCTTGTTGCAGACCCGTCGCACCCTGCCGAGCCCCTGCCGCCCTATCCGTGGCTGAAGCAAGAGACCCTGTACCCCAACCCATGCGGCAATGGGACTTTCCCCCACTTGGCACACCCCGAGGTGGGGCCGGTACCCCCTGCGCCAGCTCCTGTGGGGGCCTTTGTGGTAGGAGGGGAGCCCCCAGCACCCAACTTTGCCGAATCTGCGGGCCAGATGCCGCTGGTCCCCGAGGGCATGGCCATGCCGGGAACCCTGGAGCCTCTGTCCGAGGGGGGCTGCCCTGGAGCACCCATGGAGCAGTTCATCCCAAATTTGTTGATCAGCCCCCACATGCTGCCACGTAAGTTCTTCACTGTCACGGGGATGCGCCATAGAAGTGGGGCAGGGGCGCGAGAGGGAAAGTGGGCCCCCCTCTTGGCTGGGTTCACGTGACACGCTTCAGCAGAGCAACTAAAGGTTTAGCAGTCGCATTTGCACAGAACACCAATCTTGGTTAGCATTAACCTTGGTTCCCTTTTTGTGGTGTAACATGTCCTCTGAATCAAGCTTGGTTAGTTGCTGGTTTAATGTCCTCTGAAGACCCAGAAAAGGGCAATTCAGGAATTGGGGTTCAGCATGTTTATATACTGAATTTAATTCCATATCAAATTTGTCATTGCCCATCTCATTAAAAAGCAACTCTGGGCAGTTTACAGAGAAGATCAAATTAATTAAAAATACAATATAATACGTTGTATGAACCCAGCCTTTCAGAAGTTACAACAAGGTTCCCATTGCTTTGCACTGACTGATTCTTTAGTCGTCAGGGCATTGCAGCGTTTCGGATTCAAAGGATATTGCAAGGACACATATCCCGTGTCAGCATCTTCTGAAAGCAGCTGTGTCTTCTCCCAGACCTGCAGGCGTCGGCAGCTGCTTTCAGAAGTTGCTGACAGGAGTTGTATTTGAGCCCCCAAGTACACAAAACCCCGGATGGCCATTTGGTACAAAAAACCAGAATGTTCTGGTCTTTTGGACAATTCAGATCCACCCGAAAAATGCCACACCCGCTAAAGATAGCACAGTATAATAAAAGCAAGCAGGGCAAAGAAATGGATTTATTGTTCAGAAAAAAATGTTACGCATTCAGTAAAGCAAATGCCTATCTCAGTGTTTCTCAACCTTGGCAGCTTGAAGATGGGTGGACTCCAACCCCCCCAAATTTCCCCCGCCCCTCCCATTTCTGTGGTGCGTGGGGTGTTTTGCGGGCGAGGCCACCCTTCCTTCCCCCTCTGGAGCTGTGTAATG